GGATAAATAAAGTTCGGTGGCGAATCTTCTGTCTTTCATTCTCGCCTCTCCGTCGTTGCATTTTTCGAGTAGCGACAGGCGACTGTGAGTTATTGTGAGGTGAGTTCAAGAGATTTGCGGATCTAAATGTTAGTAGGAAGAAGAAGATTATGATTTGAAGGTGACAGATGGAGAAGGAGAAGAAACGGCTGAAGGGTTTTCAGATTGGGGAAGAGGAAAATGACATTAGGGTTTTTCTTGGGAAGTGGCGGCTAGGGTTCTCAAAATTGGGAGAAGATGAATAGTGTCTTCCCCTATTTATCCCAAATTTCCCAACCCTAATTTCCCAAATTTCCCAACCGTGTTTTCTCTTTTTCTTTTTCTGTCTAATTAGTTAATAATTAATTCTAACTCTATTTTAATTAAATAATTTTAATTAAAAATCTCTAACTCTAATCTAATTATATTTCTAATTATAATTAAAACTCTAACTTAAATTCTATATTCTAATTCTATTTCTAAATTAATTAATAATTCTATTCTAATTTCTTATTAAAAAACTAAATTCTAAATTCTAATCTTATTTAAAATTCTAATTATATTTTAAATCTATTTTCTAAATTAAAGTTCTAAATTATAATTAAGTTCTAATTTAAATTTTCTAATTCTATTCTAATTTAAAATCCTAATCTAAATCCTAATCTAAATCTAATTTAAAATCTATTCTAATTAATTAATTAATTCAAATTCCTAATCAAAATTCTAATTTCTAATTCATAACTAATTAATTTTAATTCTAATTCCTAATTAAAATTCTAATTAATTAATACTAAAATCTTACTATTATATTATATTAATAAATTATAAAACAAAAATAATGATAAATATAAAAAATGCCACGTGTCACAAATTTATTGGGCAAAAGATAAAAAAAATTAAAAAATCATCCCTTATTAAATAAATACGCTAAAAAATGCAAGTCCAAAAAATATCAACTATTCTAGACATTTCGACGAAAATAAAACGGGTATTAATGACCAAAGATCGGGTGACAAAGGTGCTTGAAAAATTAGTTTATTTTCGCTGAAAAATGTGTTACGTTGTACAAGCGACGCAAATTGAAAACAAAGTCGGACATAGTGAAAATTTTAAAAAAGGTAGGACAAATTTGGGGTATGACACTTACGCACAGTATACCTTTGTAAAGTTCAAGAAAACTGTTTATAATGGATTGCACCATTTGTTTCAAGGTTTATATTATGCGAGGTAGATACTTACATTTTGGGGATTGTTCTTTTCACCTTTAAGTGCAATCTCACATTATCATAAAAGTCTATAATTTCTCAAATGTCCGGAGATTTCTCATATAAAATTGAAGATACATTCTTATTATGTCAAAATTATCTCGAAATGCATCTCCGTATGTGTAAAAGTGTGTCCAAAGATGCATCTCTATAAACACCATTTATTTTAAAATGTGCAGGTGGTCCGAAGATGCATCTTCGGACGCTTATGTTTCATAACCCGTGTCAGACCTTCTATCTTCCTTCTTCTTCATTTTTTAAAAAGTTCTTAACACACAACCTTTGAGTTATGCAACATTGAACATTCTTATTCATTCTTTCAAATACCATTAATTGGAGACGCAACATTGAAACTTCGCCTCCTTTCCAACATCTCAAACATTTAAGCTACTTCTCATCATATTAATTAGGTAACTATTTCAAAATTTATTTTCTTTTTCTTTTTTAATTTGTAATTTGTTGATTAGGCTACATTAGATATACTAAGTACGATAGACAATAATGTAAACGAATTTGGTAGGCTAGAAGAACATGCATTGAGGTTTATTGAGATTGGTAGGGCAAGAAAGAGGTTTCTGCCATGGGAAACAATCGCATGTTATTTCGAGGATGCATCTCAGGATTTGGTCTGCATTGTTTTTTAAGATGCATCTCCGGATTGGATTCAAGCAAAAAATTGGTTGGTTTTGTGGAATTTATGAATTTCTCCTGACATGCTAATTATATTTATCTTTGTTTCTAACGCATGTGCAATGGCTAAAAACAATGATTATCATATTAGGCTCAAGTGTGTGTCTAAAATCACACCGGTACGATGTTAGAGGGTTACTGCGAGGACCACGAAGCCATGAGTTGTTGATAACTCATTCGATGGTGCATCTACTTTGCAACCTCGAGGTTCCCACTCGTTTGATAGTGCATCTACTTTGCAACCCTTAGGTTCCCACTCGTCTGCTTCTCGAAGCCGACTCTCTCAGGCATATGATGCAGTAAATCCTAAAGTTTCTAAAGCCCCTGAAGCCTAAAAGGGAGTTGTTGCCGATGTTGATGCCTCATTAGAGAGTTATCCAGGAGATCAATTTGACACCCCCTTACTTCATCTTTATGCAGATCATGCTGTTAGGCATGTCTGATAAGGAGAGGTATATATATTTTCTTTTACAATACATATGTTGTGAACTAACTAAATTCATACTCAATGTTATATTTTGTTTTTATATTAACATGATTGTTTGAAATCGATTAACCACGACAAAAAGATTTTGGAGCTGGAACTACCCACAATTGCTTAGTTCATTGATGTTATCTGCTATTCTGGGCTTGTTGGTTTATGTTCTTCTACTTACATGATCATAAACTACGGCATGCATACGAGTTTTGTTGAGAGGTGGCATTTAGAGACATCATTTTTACCTATAGGTGAGATGACCCTCACCTTGGATGACGTCTCATGCCTCTTGCATCTTCTTATCAGGGGTAATTATTAGACCACAAGAGGATCGGGCGAGAGGAAGAGGTTGACATGATGGTCACCCTTTTGGGTGCTGGCTCTAGTAAGGCCGCCAAGGAAGTAACTGACGCAAGAGGTTCTCATTCTAGGTTTAGTATTTTAGAAAAGTTTTACAAAGAACACTTGTAGTGGGTTGTCGATGTCGAGGTGATGATACGCAGGTTGAGTACCATTGGACTTGTTCATGGAGGTGTTATCTCTTGTTCTTGGTTGGAACGTCCATTTTTATGGACAAAAGTGCAACCTATGTCGATGTGGTCTACCTTAAATACTTCACTGACCTGACTACGATTCACGAGTATAACTTAAGGGCCGCATGTTTGATCTACCTATACTCTAAGTTGGGCGAGAGTTGTCTATGGAAGATAGAATAGATGATAGGAAGTTGCAGGTTGCTTACTGTAAATTTCTGTTACTAATATTTTCATAATTCATGTGTTACATGTGTTATTAATATTGTATTCAAACCATTTTCAGGGGGAATAATGTCAATGATCCATTTAAAGTCTCTCTTAACAGTGTAATACCAAATGGCGTTTGCTTCTGTCAATACGAAGGTCATCGCCAGACGCGTCAGTTCGAGGTCATTTCCTTATATTCTGAATGGATGACATGTGGGTCATGTCTTATGTATCCTTATAGCGAGCAATGCACAAATTTGACTACTTGCAGATTATTTTGAAACACCCCTTAGAGTCTACTCCTCCTAGCGTTTGTCGCAGAAATCTTCATGCGATATTGGATGATTTTGAGAGTCACCTGATACCATAAAGGTATCGCAGAGAGCCACCTCTTGTACACTTGACATATGCATACAATTACATGATCTGATTCTATAGGGTGTCACACTTTATCATGACATCAGATGCTCCTAGAAGACCGCCTAGACCAACTAACGAAGAGGTACTAAAGGTTCAAGATGAGGAGACAGAGCGCAAGATGGCAGTTTGTTGATGTGTTACGGAGATGGCTAGAGCACGTATAGAGTCAGGACTCTTTGAGAATAACACTCCCCAATTGGCCCTCATGGAATGCATGGTTGTTAAGTTACGAAAGAGGCAGGGGGTTCGACATACGTAGTAGTTTATACTTTTTTTTTGTATTATCGAACAGATCTTATATATCGTCTTGATTTTTCTAATTAATATATGACTTTTTAATTTTTTTTATAAAAAACTTTAGTATAACTTCATTTTAATTTAATATAAGTTAACCTAAAAAAAATTATAATGTTTAGACAATGTTGCTCTTGTATGATTCTCGAGGAACTCCAGAGAATCATCTCCAAATTCCATGCATTTAATACGCTTTTAAGGTTTTTAAGAGACATTTTAGAAATGCAGACACTCAAATAATTTAATACACTTTTTAGGTTTTTAAGGGACATTTCAGAAATACACTCAAATAATTTAATACGCTTTTAAGGTTTTCAAGGGACATTTCAGAAATGCATCTTCAGATACACTTACTAATGTACAAAGACGAATCTCCGAACCATAATTTCTTCAAGATGGGATAAATTTCATAATAGCGTATTTCCGTGTGATTTTGAGTGCGTTTGAGGATATATCTCCAAATGCATGAAGGTGAATTTTAAATTTTCAAAGATGCACTATGCACATATAAGAGTGGAAAGAATACTTTCCTTACATTTCATTTGAATTTCAATTATTTGAGAAGGTGGTTTCTAAGGTAACATTGATGGTTCAAGTAAGTCTGAACACAACTATACCATTAGATTTATTCAATAGCTTAGTGAGACAAAAGTTGTCAACAAGATTGTGTGTGAAATATAGGTTTCCATTTTTACACATATGATTGATTATTATTTGGTAAACTCAAATTTTATTATCATACATGTCAATCAAACCGTGTATTACCATACTTAAGATTAATCTTTCTGCTTTATATGCCAATCAAGCCTATCAAGCTGTGAATACGGTCCTGTATAGCTCAAATATACATGTGCATTATCATTCTCCGTAAAGAATTGCCATTGACACAAATTTATGGCTCGATCAAGATATCAAGATATGGGAAGACGAAGTTCATAACAAAATCTCTGGTAAAAACAACCAGTAGACAACATTAAAATTAATATCCAAAACCACCACATATTTCAGCAGAAAACAACATAATTCTACTGTTATTCAGCTACCCGTCATTAACATGATCCAAAATTCAAATTATTCTTCTCACTTCTCGATTTATTTTTGTTCAGGCTCTGGCTTCTCAAAGAAGGTCTTCTTCAAAAAGCCCCAAGGCTGCAAGTGATTTTAAAAAAAAAAAAACATTAGAAATTTAGAACTACACTCCAATTTAACAAGAAACCATATATGAAGACAAAAAAACTAAAATGTTACACATCAACACAGATTGCAAAAGTGGAGAAATTCATTTAAAAGCCATTTATGCCCCAAAAGGAAGGATGTTTAAGCCAAATTGTGGCAACATCCTCAAGATCACTGAAGATGCTTATTCGAGGAAAAACCAACATCCTTACTAAAGCAATCTATTTGAAGACTTGTATCCAACTTAGTAAAATATATTTTGGAGCCATTACCCTAGTCTTTTCCTTTACAGTTAAATGCTGGACCAATGTATGGCTTTATCCTTGTGAATGGTTATAAGTGCTGGAACCTTATGACCAAGGTAAATGCTACAAGGAAAGGGATGAGAAATAAAGGGTAAACACATAAGGGTAAGGAGGGAGGACAAAATAGAAAGGCATCTTCAGGTTGGTATGTCCAGAGCATGGCCAAATGCTGAGCTTAAAAAGACTAGTGAGACGTACAAGTTAAGATGAGGAGAAATGAGAATACAAGGGGGGACGATAGGCAGTGTTCTGGAGGGGAATATTAGTAGATCTCACCAACGATGTGCCATGATCAAGATCTGGGTGTTTTTCTAAGCAATGATTAACTTAACCCCTTTTCTGCCCTTTCCGTCCTCTTCTATGCTTGAAGAACAGCCGTCAGTGGTTTCTTTGGCAGTTATCCCTGATTGTGTGTTCCTTTTCCCGGGTTTGTGAGTTCTCCACTAGCTCAGATTGTTTTTCCCTTAGAAAGGAATGGTGCATGTTGAGTAAAAAGAGGATAGACTAAGCATTCAAATGTGGGCTGGATACCAAGTTCATATGATTGAATTCAGCAATTGTCATGTTTGGGCTTTTAGTTTAACCCAGGAATTTTGATTTAGTAAGTAGCCTATAACAGTCCAGGTAATCCATAGACATGAATTGAGAGAATAAGGGTTTGGACCAGACGTCTGACATATCTGCATAATTCAACTTATCTTTTCAAATTTGCAATTTCCAGTTCTAGACTTCTAGTAAGGAGCTAGTCTCTCCTGTTTTTTGTTGGCAAAAAACAGACACCATCATAGTTTGTGACATACAACAATAATTCCATTAAAACATATCCGAATCAAAAAGTTGGGATCATTTAATTTATAAACCCTATCTAGTGGACTAACTCTTCATCCTCGTGATGGAAGCAGGAGCAATGACTATGCCAAATTCAACAAACAACGTACTCAATGAGACGCATATCAAAAGATCTTATGAATAAATTCTAATGAAATTTAGAGTTTACTAACTTTCAACCTAAAAGAATTCCATCACCATCACAGACAAAAAAAAACCTGATGTTAATCACCCATGCCAAACACGTTTGGTCCACCATAAAGCAGAACAAAAAGTTCAAAAGCTATGAAATAAAATTGTACAAGACATTGATTACGCACATCAAACAAACATCAACGAATTCAGGAGCAAATATTGTGATGTGCGCAACAGATCTACGTGTTCGTGAAATTTATCATTTATGACATGATTGCAACTTATAAACCATAAAGCCAGTCTCCAGCACGTGATTGTGGATTCAACTACCAACAATGATAGGTCAATTTCATTAATTATCGGTCATTTCAATAAACAAAGGTAAAAATAAAAATAAAAAGGCGAATATTGAATTCGTGAATGAAGCAGGTAAAACATGAGTTTTGATTAGAACAAACAGATAATTGAGGCCAAATTTCAGATCTTCGCCGAATGTAAGAATCCAAACAAGGTATGGCAAATGAAATCCTAACATCGGGTATAATCTTCCTAAAGAACCTTGAAAAGACAAAAAAAATGCGAATCTGAATGATGGAAGGAGAATAAAGATGGTTACCTGGACAAGGTAGAGAGCGCCGGTGGCGGCGGTAACGCCCCACAAGGCGGCGGCTTTGACGTCGGAGGGTTGAATACGAATCTTCGCAGGTAAACCAGCCATTTTCCCAAATGTGAAATGTCGAATGCGAAAGAGAACCCTAGTAGCAGCACTTAGAATTAATTCCGAGAATTATTATTATATACTAACGTTTAAGGTGTTTTTATTTAATTTTGATTTTAATTTAAATTATTTATGTAACAAATTTATATATAAATTGTGAATAATAATCTATTTTTCATTTATGGATAAATATGATACAATTAATATATAATTGTATATGATAAACATCAATGAAATAAAGTAGTAAATAAAAAATAAAATAAATATATACATATTTATTTATTTTAAGATTTCTTCCATCGTAAAAAATAAAATAAAATTATTATATATTTTTTCAATCGGTTTTATATCTTCATATGAACATTTAAATTCAGTCTCTTTTTCAAATTTTATATTGTTTGTCTCGCAAATGTTAATAGCTCCACACACTACTTTCATATGGCTTCAAATAATTATTTATAATCCCATAGCAACCATAATATTAATGTTGTGGTAGTCTTTAAAACGAAATCAGAGATCGTGTGATTTAAAATAACATATGCGACTCTATAAGAAATTACCTTAGATAATTCTGATCAATATTTTAATTCTCCTTGTCAAAATTTAGTTATAGAAGAGAATGAAGTATATATATATAAAGCAATGCTACTTCATTATTAATGATTACATAGATGAAGTGTAAGAATAACTACGTGTGTATGTGTGTCAATGTTTTAATGAGTGATTTTAAATTTAATCAATTAATTTCAACGGAAATTATGGAATTTTTTTATAATAACCGACTATTGTATGTTATTTATCATAAAAATAAAATTTTTAAAATATTTTTTAAAATGACACAAATTCATCCTCGCCGATAAAATGGCGACAGAGTGCAAACGTGTTTCTGGTTTTAGTGAGGTCGCCAGCTTTATTAGCGATATTGTTGATTTTCAAAGTGACTCACCAGATAGAATGGTGACACATTAGGATTTTTAATTTTTCGTTTTTAAAATGAATTATTATTAAATTATAATTAAAACATAATTATAATTACTTCTTAAATTAATTTTTTTAAATAATAAATACAATTATTATTAATATTTTTAATTTTTTTATGTAATGTTAAAATAAAGTTTTAGTAAAAATAAGTAATAAACTTAAAATAATTAGGTTTAAATAAAAATAATCTTAAAATAATTTTAATAAATTTAGGTTTAATTAAAAATAAATTTAAATTAATTTTATAAATTTAGGTTTAATAAATATTGTTTTTATACATTTAGGTTTAATATAAATATGATTGTGGTTTAAATTGATTTAAATTTTAAAACATAATAAATATATGATTAACCATTGAATTTTATAGTGTATAAAGTTTGTAAGGGTATTTAAGACATATCATATAAGGCACGTACTATTTTATTTTTCTATAAATACGACTGCAAAGACATATATGTTTTCACAATATTGTATACCAAAAGACTGAAGCGTTAGTGCATTTTGAGTGGAGTGGAGTCTAGAATGTCTGCATTTCTAAATCAACGTTCTTCGTCGTCGTCATCAGCATCAGAGGAACCCTTTCCAACATTCGATCTAATGAAAAAAAATGCCTTAGTTGTCTTTTCAGCAACAAAGCCTCTGATGAAGATGCTCCTGTGGAATACGCAGACGTTGGAACACTTGCACAAGGAACTGAACCGCTGGCTAAAAGGAGATATTGGTCCAGGAGAAAAGATTAGGAAAATTGAGAGGTTGGTCGAGGAGACTGGGAGAAACGGAGTTACTCGTGAATGGAGAAAAGTGGAAAATGATGTCGGTGTCATTGTGATGATGTTAACACCAAAGAAGATAACGTTGATGGTTGTGATATCGTAGACGCCTTGGTGCAGTGTTCTGTTTTATGTCTTTATGTTGTTGTTATGTTTGTTTAATTTCTGTTGCTTGCTAATTGTAATCAATTAAGTATGCTTTTAATCGAATGAAATTCGCTATTGATTTAAAGGGACACGGTTACATATGAAACAATGATCTGCTGCTTGATCCAACGTTAGGATATTTTGTACGATTGCGTCCTGGTTGCCGACACGAACTACACAATCTCACCAGCTTGTCTACGGTATCCATCTCCGTTCGAATGCGCGTGCTGTTAGGCCGACCCTTTGATCGCGACTTTCTATGTCTAACAAATCTAACTGCAAGTGCACAGTCTATCGCGTAGTAATAATAGATATCGATCCCACAGAGACTCGTAATTAATCTAGTATTATCGGGTGTTACGGTGTTTAGCTAGGTCGGTTTGGTTTCAAGTTGAATAATGGCAGAATAAATGCGTAAACTAAAGGGAACTAAGGTTTTATTTAAGATATGAATTTATGAATCGATATGCAATAATTTTGTTCTTCGGGGATTTGACAACTTATTGGCGTATTAAATGTTTTCAAACTTAGTTTAAGAAGAAAATAGTGATTTAAAGACTTTTGTCTCACGATGGTTGTTGACGCTAGTCGCAACTCTAAGGCGGAACGTATGCTTTCGCTATCCCGTTCGGGGTTAAAGTTACCTTTTGAAAATCTCTAAGTTCTAATCCTTTTTAAAGCGCTTTCGCTGTTTTTAAATCGAATGCCTAGTTTTTACTATTTGGTCTTACCTCAGCTGTCGCTTGTTGGTTCGTACCTTAATATGGTTTCCCACTGTCGTGGCAAAACCACCGTAAATAGCTTCTCACTGTCGTGACAAAGATTTATTTAGAATTTTGATTAAAAACTAAAACCATAACTGAGTTTTTGAAAAGAGAAAAACTACGCCAATTATTATCAAATTCCGTCTGAATTATTATTACATATCGATTACAGTAGTTTAGCTAGACATGGAAATAGAAATGGTAATACATAAATAAAAACAGTAATTAATAACATGCATCATAATGAAAACTGAAATTACGATTAAAATTTAAAACCTGTAAAATATTCCAATTGGCCTTTGGGCAGATCCTCCACAAATGTTGGCAGGATTCTGGTCTTTGTGCCAATTGATCGTACAATGAAAATAGAAATTACAATAATATCAAAGAATGCAGAGAAGGAAAAGAGAAACAAATAAGAATAGAATAATGGAAAGGTTGCTCTGAAGACGAATTGGCAGCACTTCGTTGTCTTGAATTCGGCTCCCTTTTTCAGGTCCCAACCTCTTCCTTTTATAGAGGGAGAGTATCTAACGGTTATTCCTTCAGGAAGTGGGTTTGAGGCAGAAAAATAGGAGTTAGTGGCCACACTTTTGGTCTTTGAGGGGGAAATTTGCACGTGATTTCATTCTGCCACGTTCTGGCTGCATGACGGTCGTCATGGCTTCGTGACGGTCGTCACACGCATGACGGTCGTAACAGCTGTGTGACGGTCGTCACATCAGTCAGGCTCGTTTCTGCTGGCTTTCACTTGGTTTTTCATCCATTTTCCACTTGTTTTTGCTCCTTTACTTCATATTGCTTTGTTTGGACATGTTCTTTGAATACCTGCATAATACTTAGACAAATAGCATGGAATGCCCCGAATTCGGGGTGAAATCGGTCAAACATTAGTTAAAACATACGTCATTTTATAGATATATTTTCGCGTTATCAAACTCCCCTAAACTTGAATCTTTACTTGTACTCAAGTAAAAGTTAGAAAAGTGTGGCAAACACGCGGCACGCTCCTCCCTTCCGAGAGGTTTTTCTCAAATTACAAGTTAGGAAGTCCAAGACAAAAATCGAAACAACACACATACGGTGGTGACACTGAGTTGTTAGTCTTCGAAGGCCTCCTTTTTATGCAAGCCAGTTCCAATCATGCTACTGCAACTTGGCGTCAAGTTCCTTGCAACAAGTTTTACCCGGTTTGTTCTGGCGCAGTCACATTAAGCCCGTTATCCGTATACTTTCATGGCAAGTCAACTTGTTAGTGGCTATGATCTCTTTTCTATTTCGATTCTTCTTTGCACATAAGCTTATGCTATTGATTTCCAAATACTTTATGTACCGTTGGGCTAAATGCTCGGGTGAGGAGCACCTAACTTAGAAGGAACATGTCTCTATACTCATGCTATATGGCCCTTTTTTCTTCATGATTTTTTTTTTCATTTTGAGTTAGAGATCACACACACTTATTTGCATCGGTTTCATCGCTTAGAAGCATTTAGGATGGTGCTGACTGCTTGTATAAACTACTGGGGGCTACGTTTGAGTAGGAGCTTGAAACTTCGGTACGTGTAGGTAGTGAAACGGACTCGCATAAACTGGAGGTCTAAGGTGTCAGGACGGTAATGGAGTTGTAAAAATTTTCTTCTCGGGATTTCCATACTTGATTGAACTTTGGCGTGTCCTCGTGATGCTTAAATATTTCTTTGTATAGTCATATGAAACATGGGGAGTTTACGTAACGGAGATAAATATATATATATATATAAGCGCTTATTTGCCGAAACCGAAAGTTAAAATTTCTTTAAATTTGAAAAAAAACAAGTACAATGGGAAATAACATGAGAAAGGAAAATGAAATGGGAAATAAAGATCTGCTCCCACACTATCTCAATCAGTGTCCCCACTGATTTGAAGGGATGCGGAAGGGAGCTACAAAGTAAATACAGAAAAAACAACGAAAATGGCCAAAATGAAAAATACTACTAATCTCGTCCTCGTCCTCTATCTCTGCCTCGACCTCTGGCTGGGGGATCACGGGCGGCGAGGTTCAGAGCCCCGGTGTGAAATATGTAATCCCGGAGACCGTCGACTAGCACAGTGAGGTGCGCCATCTCGTCAGCCATGCCGGAATGAATGCCATGCATCATCTGCAGAGACTGCTGGATTTGGCCGGTTTGCTCTCTCTGCCAAGCTTCAAATTCCGCAGCCCTGCGGTTCTGCTGCTCCATCATAAGCATCATCTGGTTCTGTTGCTCGATGCAGCGGAGGAGGGCCGCAGATGTGTCATCAGTGGCAGGACGGGGGCGGTGGCGCGTGGAAGGGCCAGCGGCAGCAGCTGCGTGTG